TGCTGTCCATCATGTAGTAGTGTTTGTGATTTGGGGGAGTTCATGTGGCTGGGTTGGTTGGAGATTTTGGCATGAAGCATGAAATGTACGAAGAGTCACTAATGCTTTCCTTAATGTGTCACTGTCAACCAACATAATAAAAACAAAATATTCTAGCTGAAGTATTAGCATTGCTCTATTTAAAAAAAAAAAAGATTTACCTGTAGCCACCTGTTATCATTCCTTCCATTCATCCCATGTTAACAACTCTTTTTATAACTTTTGCATGAAATCATTGAGAGACTGCAATAACGAGTCAGTATGGATAAGCCATTGGCGTGAAAATTGATCCTTACATCATGGGAAACAGATTTAAATCATTGTAGAATACTTGGCAGAGGGTTCCCTCCCTCCAAGAAGGTTTCTAGTCCTTTAAAATGTCCTTTAATTTGAAATGATAATTATGCTGATCAGCACTTAACTGTGCTCATCAGTCTTCAAACATTGTTTTCAAAATAAACATTAATGGGAGGAAAATCAGGCAATAACATTTTAAATTTGGAATCCCCTTCACATGTATTTTGTCCATGTGGCTTGTTTCTAACCAATGCCATTTGGTCAGTTTCTATCATTGCATCAGGGGAAATATCAGATAATGTTGAGATTTCATGTTTGATGACAACTTCCAGATTACCAGCCATGTAACTCCATTGCCATCTTTAGCTAGCACTATAACCAATTAAATGGCCTCCCAAAGATATGGAAACTATATCAAGAGGGACTTAGAATAAAATTTTGTTTAGCTCACCACTCAGTCAGATGCTAAGGTTAGCCATGTACTTGGATCAATTGATGCAAAAGGCTGTAAGATGAGTTTTGATTCACTTTTGGTTATGTTGTGCACATGTGTGTTTGTAGTTCATGTTGCCATTATCTTATTACTATCTCCTTTCCCTTCAAAGGAGATTCACTGTTAGACTGTGTCAACAGTAATGAAAATAAGGATGTATTGAGATTCTTGAGAAGTATTTGCTGAATTGTAAGCGGTCACACGTACTAGAGTTTATATTTGATTGGATTGTTTCAAATCCAAACCACTATTAATGCTCTGTCCAGAGATCCTCAGAATTAAAATTCATAGCATCAGTGAGGTAATGATAATTGCATGGAATTATGAGTGCATTAGAATAAATGAATGAATCATTAATATAAATGGAATAAGTGACTAAGCCTGAAAGAATATACCAGAGCAAACAAACTTCTTAACCTTGAAAATGTCATCTTCCTTATGGTAAGTCACATTTTCAGGAATAAGTTTCCTTGAATGGTCACTATAGATAGACTAAAGCAACTTTACTTTATTTGCTATCGTGCTACTTTTACTATTTAAAAATAACTCCACTGTAAGGGGTGGGTGGGGAAGCAGCATTATTCTCATTACTTTTTTCTAACTAAACTGTGCAAGAACTGCAAGTAACGTAGGTAGAACGTATTTTTGTTTGAGAAAATAGAAGAAAAGAAAGCTTTAATTTGGGATGAAAGCATTCTAAAGTTCACAGGTTAAAATAGGTGAGAAAGTGCTGCTGAAATGTTTTGCAGAAGCTATTTTGCATATATCAAACTAGTTCTTAACATATTTCACCTAGACCTAATTGGAAGAAATCTTTAGCTTTTGTGAACTAGAGACAGCAGCCAAGACCAATTAGTTTGGCCTTCAGCTTGAGTTAATGGCAAAGTTCACAATTTTTTTTATGCAATTTGACTTGCATTTAAGCTGCAGTAAGATAATAACTTTCAGGTAGCGAAGTATTGACCAACCCTATCATCTCACTATTCTGTCACTATACTTAGAAAATTGTGGAGCTGTAGCTCAGTGCACTAATGCACGCAGGCTTTAGAGCCACTTTATTGTCATAAACACTGGTAGGTTAAGATGATAGGACATGGAAAACGTAGACAGAAAAGAATAGATGTAAGAAGAAAAACCAATGTACAGCATATGTGCATTTTTTATATTCCAACTATTTAGTTCGTGCACTAATTTAATACTTAAACTCTTAGTCATTCTCCATCGTGGAGAACAAACTGTCAACTGCTTGATTTAATGTTACCTACAGCAAACAGAATCCAGAATTCATTTTATTTAAACTGGATGTCATCGGCTTCCTTTCAACACTTCCATGAAAGGATGGGGACTGGGTTTGACCTGTTCTTTTGCTCTGGGATCATTTCTGTATCTGGATGACTCTGGCACTGAATTTTTAAAAGCCAAAGGAAGCTTTCAGAGAAAACATTTCAAAATATCTTGGAACTCACCATTCATAGAAATAGTGGGATTAGTTCCCTCCACTCAAATATTTCAATTTTAAAACACCATTTCTTAACTGCATAAGAAACTTTATGTTTTGATGCATTTAAAAGTAATTGTTGGTACTTGACTGATACATTAGTATGCTTATACAGTCTCTTAAAAGATTCAATTTCCCTGTGGAATACTGTATTTTATATATTCTGATCCTGTTAGTGCAACAATATTATCCTCTGAAAAGTTTCAGAAATGTAATGGTCAGAAACAAAGTACATCTTAAAGTACAGGATGAGAATTCAGGAAAAGAAGTTTCCTTTCTTGCACAAATGACAAAATAAGGTTTATGCTTAATTTACTGTCCTGGGTTGCCATCTGCCATCACAGATCATAGACTGTGAATGATCCAGCATGTTATGTTTATCAAAACAAAGCAAATTTCACCCTGAATACCTAATACTCCATTTGCTCAATACATTCATTTTGTTACTTACTACTACTGCTGTTGCATCATGTTACTGAGCCTTGCTAATGTTTCAGGTTGCTGCAAATCTCTGCAATGCATACACATGCCACACTTTGCCATTTCTGGGGAAGAAACGAGAGGAAGGGAGAGGGAAGGAGGGAGGGAGGGAGGGAGAGAGATCAAAATGAACAAAAAACATTGCCTTCATTTTGAATCATTTTTGTAGCCAAATTTCAGTGAAGCATCGTGACAGAATCATTTATTTAGCTGATGAGAAAAGGAAAAGCTGAAGAAAGAAAACAATTCCCAAACCAGAACAACAGCCGGAAAGGGAAAAGTCACTACAGGCAGGCAGTGTGTTATTAGGGCTGTGGCATCCTAGAAATGTTCAGGTCTAAAATGAGTTTTGCATTGATTATGCTTGCAATATGACATTGAAGCTGCAACCATTAACAAGAGGGCTGATGCACATTAGTCTTTTTGCTATGCACTTAATCTTCTTTCAGTGCTGAACCTGGGTCTGATCAGTGGATAAATAGAGCTCTCACCTGGGGGAGCGTATATAAACCTGCGTATATAAACCTGGATGTATACCGTAGAAAAGATATATTCTTAGTCAATGTAACAGATATTTTACAATATCAGTAGCTCCAGCCATTTATAGTACTGTCAACTGAATTTATGCTTGCAATTTTTTTAAAAAAGGCTTGCAAATGTTAATTATTACAAAAATTATTTCTCCTGATTTGTTTTCCATTCCTTATCTCTCTTTTGAAAAGAAAATCAACAGTACTATACTTCTAATGGAGTTATACTCTCTAACAGGATCTCATTTGTCTAATGACAAAAAAACTATCTACTCATTATTTCCAAAAAGGATCAGGGATTTATAACTGACGCTAGCATCAACAAATTCTGATAATGCGGCAAAGTGCAAATACTTAATTGGCAGTCAGTTGGCATCTGAAATAAAACCCATGCTTTAGGTTTACTGAGAACTGAAAAAATAAAATACCTTGACCATATTAAAGGCCGTCTATAGCAGATAGTTTTGAATTATTGCAAAAACAGGGAATCTAAATTCATGGATTCAAGAGTTTGCTGAAATTGTTCATCTATGATAATATCATATTTTCCAAGTTGATATTGTGTTTTCTTGTATATGCAATTGTATTTCACATATAAATTAGTGGTTTGTATATTTGGTATATTTCTAGTTGTATCTCTGTTCAAATCCCATCCAGTTTTAAAGATTGACAGAGATTGACATTAACATCTTTTAGGTTTAAAAGAAGTTTGTTTTGGATGCATATAGTGCATCTATGTAGTGCCCTACTATGCAGTGCATAGTGCACTACTATGCAGTGCATAGATGCATATTATGGCATGGATTACAATTGGACATACATACATATTCAAATCTTGAGTGGGTAGTTTTTCATTGAACCAGAAACATAATGTCATAAAAATGGATTCCGCAAAAATCTCTTTTACCAAGTATGAGAAGAAGTTGATTATATTGGTTTTGCAATTCATTTGGCTGGTGAAGACCAGATGCACTGGACTATGGGCCAGCATACCCTGAAGTTCTGGCACATGTATCTTGGAAGTATGATATATGCTGCATGTTATTCCTCTTTTTGAAAACTCTCAAGCAATGATTGGCAACCATATAAACAACTGTTCCAGAGAGAAAAGGCTTCGATTGCTTTGTCCTACTTGTGCTTTATTCCAAAATAGACAAATGTGTTACTTTCTGATATTAACCTTTGTATTTCATGTGACAGGTTTATAAAGATAAGACGTAAGTAAATTAAAAAAGACGAGTTTGGATCTAAACCAAAACTCAAATTTACAATAGTTCTAATCCTGATTAAATCTGGATCAAAGTCATTGGCTTGGTTTGCAAGGTTTTGAAGATGGGTCATATTTACATCGTCTCAAGAGCAAATGGCATCAAATATATTTAATTTAATTAGACCATGAGAAGATCTTCCAGAAGGCCTTGGAAGCTGTGCCATTTTAATTTTAAAATAGTATAAATAACAAAGGGTGCATTTTGCAAACTACATCTCCTTCATTGTAGAAAATGGATGTCATTCCTTGCAAATCAAATTGCTGTCTTGCCCTAAATAGAGGGCAATGCCATTGTATATCTGTGTTTTGTAATCCCTTGTTCAATATACTCTGATTAAAAAAAAAACACATTCAGCTAATTATAAATCATGAATTCCTTCTACTTCCTTACAGTTCCAGATTATCAAGAACAGGATATATTTCTCTGGAGGAAAGAAACTGGTTTTGGGTTTAGAATTCTTGGTGGAAATGAGCCTGGGGAACCAGTAAGTATCCAAAATTAGCTTTTTTTATTTTTCATATCTTCTTAATTTCTAGGATCATCTTCAGCAAAATATGGCCCTGCTTATCTAATGTATATTGCTAGCACAGCCTTTGACTGTCTCTTGGATATGGCACTTGATTGTGCTAGCAAAAAAAAACAAAAAACCAAACCAATTGAAAGCAATGTGAATAGCTATGGTCCTACTTCAATCCAGCTCAAATATGGGTGGCAGTTTCCACCAGCAAGTGGCTTAGCCTTGAAGCAGTTGTACTGAGCTAAACATTGAACAGATGTTATCAATTTTAGTCTGTTGATGATTTGAATCCAGTTAAAGGTAAGACTTCTTTTAATCTGCATATACAGTCTCATTTAAGAGAAATTTACAAGAACTAAAAATGAGTTTGTGGTGAAATTTTGTATCTGTGTTGAGTTCAATTCCCTTAAGAAGGACATTTCAGTAATATAAAATACCAATTGAAAATTGTTTTTTTTTTTTAATTGAAACTGTACCAGAAATAATTAATCAAACCTGCTGGTTGTTTGAAATAGGAAAGTAGTATTTTCCCCCCTGTGGAATCAACTGGTTACTACAATGTGTTTCATTATCCTTTTTGTGAATATGTTTCACAGGTCTAGGTTAGATCTAGGTAATCCAAATCTTTTTGGATATTTGGTGCGTGAATCCATTAGGATAAGAGTTCTGATTTGGAGCAGTCTTTTCAAAGGTGTTTGGGGTGTAGGTAATCCTGATTTGTTTCTTGAGCAAGTGACAGCCCTTCTCATATACATTTACTTCCTTTTCACAGATTTACATTGGTCATATTGTGCCATTGGGTGCTGCAGATGCTGATGGTCGCCTGAGATCTGGAGATGAATTGATCTGCGTGGATGGAACACCAGTAGTTGGAAAATCACACCAGCTTGTAGTCCAACTTATGCAACAAGCTGCAAAGCAAGGCCATGTCAATTTAACTATCAGACGCAAAGTGGTATTCACAGGTAAGCTTCAATGTGACTGTGTGGTTGTTTTATTTCTATTCTATACTTGGAAGAATAGTGTATTGTACTTGGAGGAAAACATACAATAAGGGGACTTCGGTGCTCTCTGAGCTCAGTTGTTTTCTTGCAGATGTTTCATTATCTAAATTAGGTAACATCATCATACATCATTGTGTAAAAATACAATAGTTGAAAGAAAATTTACTGTAAAGGTACTGAATGTAACCTAGCAAAATTACAGAAGTGATCAGGATTCATGCTGAATATTCTCCTATAAAAGTTGCCTTGTTACATTTGACCAGATTCATTTAGCTCAACTATCTGTTTACAGTAGATGCTTCTAAAATTACACTAATATTAATGTGATAGTCATACCCCTACTATTTATTCTCAATTTCTAGCATAAAAAGTGTGTGTGTGTGTGTGTGTGTGTGTGTGTGTGTCAGGGGTTAAATTAATCTAATGAAGATTTGATGGTACTTTATGGAGGTCATCTATGCAAGTAGATGACTTCCAGATATTCAAGAGTTCCAGCCTTCAGTATACTCAGTGGAAAGGCTGAGAATGTCTTTCCTTAACTGAAGCCTGTATTAAGAGTATCTTCTTAGTGATCCTTACTTAGAATTATTCCTCAAATTAGGAAAAACAATGGGACACACTTAGTAAAATGCAGTATAAAAGAAAAAGAATGAATTATTGTACACATTCCAAAGAGTAATACAACTTTTTGTCAAACCACTAAATTCTATGATAGAAAAAATAAGTTGACATACTAAATCTTTGATCTTTGATTTGAATGGTACCCTTAATCTTTGAATATCTTTTAGCAAAAACTTATCATGGGTATTGTTCTCGAGTATTAGTGTCCCCCCAGATGAGTGCCACTATTGAATAGACATATATAAAATGAAAGCCTCAGATGAACTTAGGAATATAGAAACGTGTAGAAAAAGATTCTTCCTAAATGTTGTCCCAATAGCAGATTTCTCCCACCTCTTGAGTCCCTCAAGATATTTTGTCTTACATCTTCCTTAATTGTTCACCATTATAATCAATTGATACAAAGCAGGGACCTAATGTATCAGCTTTATATTTTGGTCTAATGCTCCTAAAAACTTGACATTGCTGAAAAAGCTGTTAATCCGGGGTTGCGTCTTTTTCACACAGTCCCCAAAGCAGAGAATGAGGTTCCCTCTCCAGCTTCTTCTCATCACAGCAGCAACCAACCAACTTCTTTGACCGAGGAGAAACGCACTCCGCAGGGGAGTCAAAACTCACTCAACACTGTCAGTTCAGGCAGTGGCAGCACCAGTGGAATTGGTAGTGGTGGGGGAGGAGGCAGTGGCGTCGTCAGCACTGTGGTCCAGCCCTATGATGTAGAAATACGGCGTGGAGAGAATGAAGGTTTTGGATTTGTCATTGTGTCTTCAGTTAGTCGTCCGGAAGCTGGAACAACTTTCGGTAAGTGCAGAATATGCTTCTAAAATTTAGATTTTGGGACGGGGTTTATGTGACTCCTATCAATATTTTAACTTCAAAAGGACCTGGAGACATTCCAGTTATGCTTTTGGCTGGGAGGGTTATCCTTAATGCATCTGTAGTGTTTATTGAAGAAATAAGCCTTCACCAATGACCAAAATAAGAACAAGGGAAAAGGCAGCAACTCTAAGTTAACAGAACCTAAATTGTTACACTATAGCAGGGCTGTCAAACTTGCAGCCCATGGGCCAGATGCATCAGGCTCTGGCCACACCCACGCTGGTTTAGTGAAGGGAGGGAAAGTCACGATACGTCACAGGATGATGCCCTGACGCCACGAGTTTGACACCCCTGCATTAGAGTACAATGATAATAGTAATTACAAATTACAAAACAGTAATTAAAATTCACAAATGTGCCCCTTTCTATTTCAATAATGTGACTAATTGGAAAGTCAGGCTTTGGTAAATGTTTGCCTCCCGGGTCTTGTTCAAAGCTGAATTACAATTTTTGTTTTGTGTTGACTTTGTTTTCTTTCTAAAAGAGACATTTTGAAATTGGGATTCTAGAAATAATGGCAGCAGGAAGAGGGGGAGGAAGACAACAGGGGGTGTAATCCTATGCTTAAAGTAAGAACCCTCCGTAGCATATGGCTTTTCTTGAGATAAACAGATTAGGAATTTTTAAGAAGATACTGTAAAGGAAACATGTGCTAGCAATGTGGTTTATGTAGTTGGCATGGCATTCCTTTTGATTCACTTTTTAAACATAGCATCATTCATGAGGAGAATCTGTCTCAGGTAACCTCTCTTTGCTTATGAGTGTTTTCCCATTTACCTTCTAGGTAAGGCTTGACCTTGCAGGTGATCCTTGCAGATCAAACACCTGCAGCCTCTTCTTTCAATTCCCCCACCATTGCATGTAACACATTTTAAATTAACTAAAGCCTAAATCAATGGTGAATCGCTATTCCATTTATATTTCTCTCTTAGCACAGGGATGGAACTGAGTGGCTTAGATAGTCTTAAGACATTCCTACGGAATAAAAATAAATAAATAAAAATACGATGGAAGCTTCTTATCTCTAGAGCTTTTTAATCTGGATTTAACCCTGCACCTAGCTAAAACTGCTGATATCCAAATCAATCTAAATGTAATTAGAGATGGGGTTCACCTCTTGACTCTGAGGCCTGTTTATATATTTATTGCTTAAGCAACAAAAAAAGATTCATCTTCCAATTTTCATCTGTCAGCCCTATACATACCAGGTGCTAGCAAATGGAAGAGTTTTCAAACTTCTTTTCCACTCTTGAAGAATTCATATGGTTCTTGTTTGCATTCATTTAATTAAAAAAGCACTTGGAATCATGTGAGATAGTTATTTGATCTTAAAAGTAACATAATGAATGCCTATTAAAAACCATAACGACAAATAAAATAAGGCAGCAAATATCATCTGAAACCACTCAAATCCCACCCATTTAGTACAAACTCATAAGTATAGGAGGCAACCCTAAAATGGTAAAAATGTATGTTCCAAGCCCAGAGAATTTTATTGCAAGATTTATTGAAGGGATAGGATGGTCTGTTAAATAAAGGTAATTAAATGTTTACTTTTCCAGTTTGGTTGGAACACCAGTGATTAATGTTCATTTCTGAAAGTTTCTTGAAAGCTAGACATACAAGGCCATGTGAAAGCAAATTTATGTCTTGACTTCAAGTTAATCCCTCCCTTCTCCTCTGCTCCCATATTCTGCATGAAATCCTTGTCCTTGGCTATACAGTGCTTGCCCTGTAGCTATAGGAGGCTTTATAGTTTTATATAGGTGGTCAACAAAAGTGGGTTGGACTAGGCCAAAACTGTCTTTTCTACAGACTTGTGGGTTAGGTTTGTTCATTCCTAATTTTTTTAGAAATTAACCAAGAAATATTTTTATTGTATGGTGGTTATATTTAAGAATAAGTCATGACTACTGCTATCTGTTATGAAAATAATCCATTCTACGAGTTATAATGGACTTTGGATAATATATGGCTGATCATTTAACTCATCCTTCATTGTGATTTTTTTCATGTTATCACAACATAGACATATTTCTAAAATTACTAATACAAATACAGTACAAGCATATTATATTTGGATGGCTTGATAAAATCTCCATTCACACACACAAATGAGGCCTCCATAGTCATCATGGCCCCATGCAAAGTGAGTGAAGTAGCTGCTTCAAAACACAATTATGTGCAAAGTTCTAAAGAAACATACCCAGATGTGGGCAGGAAACATTGACAAAGCCAAGTTAGGTAAGGGTACAATCATATTTGATATTAGTTCAAATTGCAATTCCAGAGATGAATTTTTGTGGAAACAAAATTGGCAAATTGAGATAGAAATCAAGTCAGAACGCCAGGAAAATAAAATGTCCAAAGAAGAGTAGAGTAAGCAGTAGCAGTAATGGTTTAGATTGATCGTAAAATATATAAAAATATAAATACATAGTAATCAATCATTTGGAATGAAGCAAAGCCATTAAAAGTTCCTTATTTTATAAATAAAAAATATTCACTGGTTTTCTATATTCTATAAGCAAAAAATGAAGATACAGATATATGGATATAATTACAAGTAATTCTGTTACTCAGTGATCATACTGAAAAATAGGTACAGCTTAATCTGAGGAACAGCCTGGTGTAGCTAACCTAATCACTGTTGCAAGTTAGATTATGTAATCCATTAAACTGGTGCATAAAGTAACTCCTTTTTATTAAAGATAGAACATTTTCATAACTTCTAAATGTTATTTTAAAACAGCAGTAGGGCAGGAAATCATTATACAAGTCATTATACATTATACAGTAGGAAAGAGTTCAATCTAGCTTTCTGAACTGTGGAAAATATACACAAATTTAGGATGGATCAAACCCAATAATGAAAGTTACAGGTATAGATCAAGGCCAACAAGCCTGTTACTCTCCAAAGACTGATTTAAGATTAGTAAAGGCATGATATAAATAAATATAAAATAAAATGAATAGTAATTTCCTTTGTTCCTCATCATTACCTTCACTGGCTGAAATTTGTGTTACTAGAAACATTTAATAGAGTTGATTAGGAAAAAGGTACTGTAAACAGTACTGTAAAAAGGAAATTTTTCCTTGTCCCTTACTGTCATCATTTAATCTTCCATCCTTAACATGCATATTTAAAACTATTAGCTATGAAAATAAGAGTTTAAATTCTTGTATTTAAATTCTTGAGTTATTTGGGGTATATTTAAGATTTCCCACTTTTTTTGTTGATAGTTTATATTAAATTGTGTTGAAAGTAAGCATTTTTGGAAAGCTCTATATTCTCCCTTGGTCCATCTTTAGTGGCTACTTGTTCCTGGCCTCAATTAGTTCCTTCTCCATTGTAGTAGAAACTCCTGACTCCCCACTGCTTTTATCCTTATCTTTTTGTAGAATCTATCCTTCTGAGTTTGAATTAAGAGAAAACTCATTCCTTGGTAGGCAATATAATGATTGTCTTTCAAAACGGAGAAAGAACAAAACATTGGCAGAGATTTTAAGCATCATTGGCTAAGATAAAGAATGAGACAAAGTTGGGTTCAAGGCAAATCAAAGAGGCTTGGGTTGCCATTCAACAATTTCAGATTTACAAGTAGAATCCTCTGAGATTTTATTCTGAAGGCTGCTGAGCACAGTGGCAACCCATTCAAACATACCATGCGATGTAACAAGAAGAGCCTTTTGTGCAGAAGAGAGCACTACGAGAAGCATAGGAAGCGCTGATTAGCACATTTTAATATTTGTACTCACAGAGTCAATTGCCAATGTTTTGAACACTGGCAGCAAAAGCTCTCCTTTAATAACGTTTGCTTGATGCATTAATTAATTAACCCTTAACCTTCTCTTTCCCTTTTCAACCCTTTTTCTCCTTTCCCCCTCTCGTCATGTTCCCAACGTATTTAAACAATTTGTTTTAAAAAAATGCACACGCGCAAAAACAAAAAAAATCAATTCAAAAGCAGGCAATGCATGTGTGGCCATGCCTCACAAAATAGGTCGGATTATTGAGGGGAGCCCAGCAGACCGGTGCGGGAAGCTGAAAGTCGGGGACCGGATATTGGCCGTTAATGGATGTTCCATCACCAACAAATCACATTCGGACATCGTCAACCTAATTAAAGAAGCAGGAAATATGGTTACTCTGCGCATAATTCCAGGGGATGGTAAAGTATATATTCTCTCTTTCATTCCACTACCCTCTTTCCTACAGTACAATATTGCTCTGAGCTGCATTGCTCTGTTTTGCCTTCTTCTCCTGATTTTCTCTCTCTCTCTATGTAGAGGTAGTCCTTGACTTACGACTGTAATGGACCCTGGCAATTATGGCCCAAAGTTGTGATTGTCATAATGTGTGTCATTACATCACCAATCCAATATTAGGAGATTTTTTGTAGGGGTCATTAAGTGAGTGTTGAGGTTGTTAAGTGAACCCATTGTTTGCTAGGGGCCACATTTTTGCTGCAAAGAAGAAGCAAACCTCAGTTTCTGACAGAAATGTGATTTTGGGTCACTACAAATAGCCGTCAATGTGGGCCAGTTGCCAAGCTCCCCAAATGTTGTGATGTGATGGCAATGAGGGCCACCGTTGTAGCTTTGGAACCTGGTCACAAGTAACTTTTGGAGTGTCCGTCATAACTTAAGTCGAGGACTACCTGTGTGCTGGGGCATGGAGAGAAAACTTGCTACTTTTATTTAAAAAACCAGATACAGTGTTTGCAAGAAGTCTCTCTTTCTGTATATGAGAGCAAAGGTTTTTTTCCTCCTGATTAGTATAAGGAATCCATGTATCCTGGGTGTACATTATAGTGCATATGCTTTCTAGTATATATATAATACAATATATACAATATATAGTATATATAATACAATAGTGTATTGGTTTGCAAGTTAGTCTCTGTATTAGTTAGATGCACAGTCTATCTCAAGTATATTTGAGCTAAAACTAGGTTTGGGTTGTGTCGTAATATAATATAAACTATTAATAGTAAACTATTACTATTATAATTTATATTATATACTAATATAAACTATTACTGTCATGGTTGCTTTTTATGACTATTACTGTCATTATCCATGGAGTAAAACACAGGTGCAATTAAATCTACTAATGTAGTCAACCCTTTATCTTCTGATGGCCCTGCAGAATTTATCTTTTGATGAGGAGGAAGTGGAGGAAACCGGGCCTTAGCCAAACTTCATTACAGAGTGGTATACAAGTCTGAGTGCTATTTGCTATACCTTACTAAAAACCAATATATGAAAACCTCAGCTGATTATAGACCACTTGAGCTGGAAGTTAATGTCTAGGGGGCCATTCTGATTTCACCATATGAAATATGAATGGAATGTAAGAGGAGTAAATATATTCATTTATTTATCAAACTTCAAACCCATCTCCTTCATGGAGTAAATAGTAAAGAATGTGGATTAAGGAAATAATGAAAGAGAGAAAAATATTTTTTTTCTTTCTGAAAGTGAGGGAATGTTTACAATATGATTAATAATAAAGGTTGAATGAAGATGTTCTGATCTAGGATTGTTGAGCTGATGGATACATGAAGGAAAAGGAAGATTGTAGTTGTGTATTAAAGGGCTACTCTCAGGCACAAAGGATCAAAACCATAGATTGAGTTGTAGCTCAGAAATATTTACTGTTCATGACTATACATAAGAATCAAGTCAACTAACAGCCAGCACTAAATTGGTCCTGGACAAGGGTTGACAAAATTCAAGGGTGGGCTGGACGTGGATCTCTTGTGGCAACACAAGGACTGCAAGAAGTGATCATACATTTAACTCTGTCCTCCAATGCTGTCTGTTTTTCTCTACGGCTACAACATCTTTCAGAACATATGAATTGAATTGCGATAGTAGCAAATATCTGTAGCTCGGGTGGAGGATGAAGATGAAGGTTCGTTCTCCGAGCTTGTGGGTTGGTTTCTGAATGTTTGATTACCAGGCTAGATAACATCTTCAGCAGATTTTAGGGGATGTCAGTTTCAGTGTTCTTCTGTTCACTGATGACTCACACCTGATCCATCACAAGAACCTCACTTGAGACACCCACACCCGAAGAAGAGTGACATCCCCTAAACTCTGCTGGAGATGTTACCTAGCCTGATAATGAAAATGAATCACTTGTTGAGAGCAGATATTATAGAAATCAACATTAGTAATGGTAATAAGTTATGTTCCAGTAAATTCTTACAATGGAAACACAGGGATGGATTTAGGGACGATGTAACATGTTGGAGTTTTGGACAATAAGAAACATGAGCAGACAAGAAAGTATAGAAATACAACCAATTGGGATAGTCAGAGGCCTAGAATAAATGAAAACGTTGAAAATGGTGAGTATGTGTTTGGGAAAAAAGATCTCCTGAGCAATATGTTTTGAATGCTAGATGCTAGAATTAGTATTTTAAAGTTTTTACATGGGAATGGTAGCGAAATGTCAGGAATCGCTTTGAAACGAATGCTGTAAAAGTTACTATAAAATTAAAAATCAAAAAGAAGTCACACATGCTATGAGAACGTTGAAAAATGGTAAGGTTATAAGTATAGAGAAGGGGTGTCAACCTGGCCCACAGGATGCTTAGATCTGGCCCATGGGGCCGCCATGGAAACAGTGAAGGACTGGCCCACAGTGCCTCTACCAGCAAAAATGGAGCTCGGATGGGCCACGCACAGCCTCCCCAAGCTCCGTTTTCGCTGGCAGAGGGCTGCAGGAGGTCATCACGGCCAAAAACGGAGCCTCAACAAGTGACATCAAGCTGGCCACACCCACCCTGGCCATGCCTATTCCCCCCCCCCCCCCCCGCAAGGTCAAACACAACCCTGATGCAGCTCTCAATGAATCAAGTTTGGCACCCCTGGTATAGAGGATTAAACTGGAGAAATGTTAAATGAGCATATGGTTCATATTGTTTACTTCTAGGGAAACAATAGTAATGGAGTAACAATATGACTTTTTAACGTGTGTGTGAAACCGGCATCTGTGCCCAGTAATAGAAGAGATACCATTATTATTCCCTGAAGGAAGGTTTTAGCAAGAGTGAATGGAAACATTGTAGAGTATTAATTTGCTAAGCATGTTTGGAAGATATTTGGCAAAATTGTGATCAAAAGGCCCTAGGAGGAGATAGTGACGAATTTGGTAAGTGCAGTGCAGCTTCTGGTCAAGCAGGGAATGGACAAACTGGATTTCTGCTTTTCAGCAGCTCCTTGGGAAAAAAAAGTGATGGCAGCTTTGTTGATTCAGAAGTAGTGCATCTTAAAGTGAATAGTTTTGAACTATGGATAGTTTAGTGCACTTACGGAGTTGGAAGTTGGTTGCTGAATTCAATATCAGGTATATGATAGATGTGATATTCAGGTAGAAATATTTGGTCGTGTGTGTGTGTGTGTGTGTGTGTGTGTGTGTACAAATAGTCACATTATCGTTTCGAGCCCAAATTACTTGCAGAAAATGTTTGGAAAACCGAATGATATAATGAGCAGTATGAGCCTAAAAAATGGAATGACTCATTATATATAACGTTACATGAAAATGTTTAGGTACCTATGATCAAATTATATATATATATCAATAAATCCCTAAGTTAGCAAGAGTTTACATTACCTCTGTATGGTAGAAAGTGAAACATGAGATCTGATAGAGTTGGAAAGTACCTTCTGTGAAACTAGATTCATATTATGTACTCTTTGGAACAATATACCATCAAGGTTTGGTTGGCTCCAACCCTGTTAGCTTTTCATAACGCTATAGAAAAACTTATCTACACACACACACACGCATACACACACTTTGGGTTGAGTATTGGTTGAGCCTCTCTGGCAAATGGTTTTGGAATGTGAAGTTGCTATAAATTGTATTGTGAGATGTTCCTGTGGTTTTTAAGTTCATTTTGCTCCATTAATCTATTTTGCTCTGTTAATCAACTAAAGTCACAATTTGCAAGTTGGGTGACCATATCAATAGCTAATAAATAAGTTCAAGTATGGAGAACTGTTTCAGTGTTGCCTATTTTTTTCAGCAGGTCATTTGCAGTGGTCTATAGGAAGATCTGACCAGTTCCAGCAAAGATTTTTCTCAGTCTTCCAGGTCCAGACTTGTATTTAATAGTTATGAGTAGACCTATTGTAGGCCTTACAAGCCTTGCACCTTTTCTAGTCTTACTGACAACTTTATTGCACAGTTTAAAAACGCAGCAATGAACCAACAGTAAGAATGGCAGATTTCAGCATATGCCAAATCATCACAATTTTTCTTCCACCTCACCCTCCTTGCAGATTGGGATGATTGTACAGAAAAGGATTACAAGAGAGTAAGTAGGCATACAATGTGGAACACACAGCAAAAGGAATGTGCTATCGCTGACTGTTCGCCTAGGAGCCACAAGCATGCTTGACAAATAGCCAGTGCATCAGTGGTGGGTTTCAAAGTAGTTTACCACCGGTTTGGTGGCTTGGTGGGCATGCTTTGTGCGCACGCATGCCAAACACACACTTTGCGCATGCGCAGAGGCTTTCCTACTCACCTCCTGCAATCCTGTAGTTTAAACAGCTGGCGCATGGCAATCTCCTGTGCCGCGCAAAGCAGCTGCGCTTCAAAAGCAGGGAATAAAGGTCAGTATGGGAGCATGGGCAGGCGGGTGGGCCCAACAGCAGCTCGTCTGAGAGAACCGGTTTGGTCTCCACTGATCTTTGGTGCTAACCGGTATGCCAGAACCGGGCCGAACCAATAGAATAGCACCACTGTTCTGATGTGTATTCTCCATTGTGTGCCTGTTTACTCTCTTTTAATCCCTTTCTCCCCAGTGAATGTAAATACAGATAATTCCCTTCTTGCTAACTATCCCAATTCCCAGGGTAAACATTCCAAAGGGTGGAAGAATGGGGACAAAGGAAAGCTAAAGTAAGATTGAAAGCAGAGTTACAGTCACATGATTTTCCACATAGCAACCATGTCATTTAGGAACAGAGTTGCCAGTTTTAATTGTGCTCACTAAACGAAGACTACCTGTATTTAACTAGGATCGCGTGGTCAGTGAAGTTTTTGAACCTGAAAAAAAGTTAAATATTTCAGCAAGAGACCAACCTGAAACTTACTTCTCAGTTAAGCAGTTTTAGGGGGGAAAAGATGTGAGACCCCAGACATGAA